GTCCTTCCACCATTATGTTTCTACCTTGCCACAAGACTCAAAGCAATGAAGCCAGCCAACCATGGACTGAGACTTTTGAGCCTGTGTGCTAAAATAAATCTTTCCTGTTTTACATTGCTTATTTGGGGTATTACATCATAGTAATGGAAAACTGACACACGTTTTCTCAGTTTGAAATTGTCACTTTCTTGTCATACAGCCTTGTTAGACCTTCCTGCAGACTGTCTTAAAATCAGGTCTTCAAGATAGCTGCAATACAGAACATTAATTATGATTCCAGTTGGGGTTATTTTTAAACATATCCACCTAATACAGTGCATTGTTTTCTGAGATGACAGTTTTCTATTCAAATTTTTTCTTTTTGATGCTGGGGATCAAGCCCAGGGTCTCAGTCATACTAGACTTACCAGAATAAAGGAAAAACCACATTGTTACAAAGATTTTAAAGAAGTATGACACAAGTATGTTTATATGGAGGCATAAAAATTAAATACTTCAGAGAAAATGGACAGGCTTCTGCTCTCAGTATACACAGCAATGAATGACAATAAAAAAAGAATACTGAAACTGGTTTGTTTGAATTGATCAAGAACTCCAAAGAACAGGGCTATGGAATTGGAGAGGACCTGGATTTAAGTCCAAACTCTATCACTTAGTGTGTTCCTTAGGACAAGTTACAAAATCTTTCTAAATTTCGTTCTCCACCTATGAAACAGAGATAACTTTTGTAATGCTATTATATATGTATTAAAAGTATGTGGCATGTAAAACACAGTGCTTGGTTAGAGAAAGTACTCAAGAAGTGTTAATTTCCTCACTTTAGGAAATTAGAGAAATTCAACAATAAGAAGACTAATAGAGAAAGAACCTGACACGAGAATGAATAATATAACATTGTGAGTGGCTACAGAATTAATGTAAAAAATTTGTGTTAACTAGTAGACACAATTAAGCAACATGTTGTAAGCTTGAAAGCTATTCAATTTACAGTTTTCTTACAAAAAGGTTTAGTCCTGGCCAATATTTGGATTTAGATGGCATATATTCAAGCCAATAACAACACACTATTTCTTGAAGCAGCACTATATTTTAAATGTAGAAATGTTAAACTAGAGAACTCTATATTCTGCTCCCAGGCTCAGTCACTGGTCCCTCCACTTCAACTTGGCAAAACTATTCAGCCCTGCAGAATCCAAGCAATGCATGGAGTCCCCAGTTGCCATTTCCCAGAAGTATGCTGGACAGAATGAGAACATCACTTTCCAAGAGGGAGTTGCTAAATTTCATGAATACAGAACTGGCTGCCTTCACAAAGAACCAGAAGGACACAGGTGTCCTTGATTTCATAAAGAACCAGGACAGAGGCTGAAACTAGCCTTCAACAGTTTTGGCAAACTGATCTGCAAGAATTTCTTAAATCTTATTGTCGTCTTGGCAATGGCTTTCCATGACTCCTTTCTCAAGGCTACCCAGAAACATATCTGAGGCCCTGTGCAGCTGGTCTCCCAAACTTATCCCTCTAACTACCAATTTATCACCTCCTCCTCACAGTCCCACATGTACCCTGAGCCCAGGACACCTACTATTATTCCATGCAAGTCACACCTACAGGCAGGAATAAAACAATCTTATTTGTTATTTTTGTGTGTGTATATAAGTGTTTGTGTTTGTACATGGTACTGGGGATCAAACCCAGGTCCTCACTAAGCTATATCCCCAAACCAAAAATATCTGTTTTAAACACATATACATACACAACACTAAAACTGAATAAACTAACCAGCCAATGAAGTTTCCCTAGTACTAATCCATAAAATAAAAGGATCAGACTGGATACAATTTCTTTAACAGGTTATTCTATGTTGACTAGCTCCATACACATGCCAATCTAGCATTCAGATGAAAATAACAGCTAGAGATCAAGTTGGCAAGAGCCAACCCCATCTTTACATTTTCCAGCATTAAAACACAGCTCTCCTCTGGCCAGAATGACTAACGGATGATAAATCCATGGGAAGAGTTTGATGAGGAATAGGATATTAGACTAGTCTTAATGAGCTGCTCCATATACTCTTTATTAGTTGCAAAGGAAAAGATATTAATTACGCAGTAGAAAACCTGAGTACTCAACAACAATTAACATTACTAATGAGAAAGAGATGTCATGAGTTCCCAGAGGTGAGATGCTGAAGACACCCTACTGCCTATGTAATCTTTTAGCCTGGAATGTATGACCTAATTTTAATCATAAGGAAACTTCAGACAATCTCGAATGAGGAACATTCTATTAAAATTAAAGGGACTATAATCATCAAACAAGTCAGTGCCATGAAAGACAAAGCTGTGGATGTTTCAACTTAAACAAAACTAAATGCTAAAACCCAAGGGTGTAAAATACATAAAAGTTTTGCATGTATGTTAGAATACCAACAAAAGTCAGCTGCAAAGTAAACCCTGGATCACAACCAAACCATAACACCAAGTTATAAAACTCTGGGCGTCTGACGGACAATCACAATGCAAGCGCCATGACCTGCCAATGCCTAGCACCACTTCTGTTTCTACAATAGCTATGAGAGAGCAGAAGCAAGCTTCAGAGAGAAGGCACAGAATAGAAAGGCACCATTGCTCAGCCTACAGAAGATCAGAAGCCACTGCCTTTAACCAAGCCACAGTGCAGCAAAGAACACATTCTGCCATAGAGAGGCAGGCCTCAAGGATCATTTTGAGGTCTTTTTCTGATCAGGAATTAGAAAGGATTTACTATGATTACCACATTAACTTTTTTTGTGTTTTAATAGACACAACTAGAAAAAAAAACTACTAATAACAAACACAGACTCAAGAGTGTTGGGCTAGGATGAGAGCACCTTATCCCATCTCTCTCTCTCTCTCTCTCTTTTTCGTTTTTTTGGTGTGACTGCAGTTTGAACTCAGTGCTTCATGCTTGCAAAGCAGGTGCTCTACCACTTGGGCCACTCCTCTAGTTCATTTTGCTCTGGTTATTTTTGAGATGGGATCTTAAAAATTATTTGACCAGGCTGGCCTTGAGCCTTGATCCTCCCATTCTCAGTCTCCCAAGTAGCTAGGATTACAGGTATGTATCACATGAACCCATCTCCAACTATTAAAACCTCTGTACTATGCATAAATTATATAACTATATGCAGACGCCATTTCTGGCACACCTGTCTCAAACTTTGTTTTCTTTTTGAATTTATGAGGATGATTTAAGCTCATTTATTATTCTTTAAAGTCATTTATTAATCTACAACATTTTACATAATTCCCAGATTTAGGCAAATTACTTCTATTTTACATGCTCCTGAAATGAATACCTTCTGTGAAAACCCTTCCTTCTATTTTCTTGAACCTGTCTGTTTATATCACCTATAAATACTTAACATGATAGGTCATGGCTAGTACAGTCTTTATACTTTCTAGCAACCTGATTGTTTATTTGATTTTTTATATGCTTATCACCTTTTTATCAATAATCCTTAAGGGAATTCCAACTTATTTTATCCAAAAGAGAACTGAACTGGCAGAATTCTGTTTGGGTAGAAATCCTCATACCTGAAAAAAACACCATAGGATAGAAAATACTATTTTGAGATAGTTAGCTGTCAGCTTCCTAGTCTGACGTTAGATACCTGAGTCACAAATAGCATGCACAGGTTATCAACATCTTTCATATGAACTAGAAATAAGTATATCTGAGAACTGACTCTTTATGCACATTAACTATGTTCTGTGTTCTAAAAGCTGTATTATAAAAGACTATAAATGATAAAACGGGAGTCAGAGCAAACTTATGCACTACCCAAAAAGTGAGGGGTTACTTACAAACTTCTTTTAAGTTTACTATTCCTAAACTGAACAAAATGTATACATGATAAGCTATTTTTATTACATAATTCATGTATAGCCTACTACTGTTCAAAAAGTAAAAATTTACCATTTCAACATAGTTCCAAAAAGACAATGATAAAAGTTTAGCACATCTTACTTCCAGATATCTCTTCTGCCTAGAATTGGGCTAATATTAGCCATTATCAAACCACCTACGAAAATTTGAAGCATTCTTAAAATCCCTCCTATATTGTTTTTATACTTAGGATGTACTTATGTGAACCTTACAAGAAGTATAGTATGGATATTAGTTCTTCTCTGTATTTTCTTGAACTAAGTTTCATTTCAAGTTCTTTTTCAGTAATTAAAAACCCTATGCAGGTGAGGAAGCACATGTGTATGGTCCCAGGCTGAGGCAGGAGGATTACTTGAGCCCACCAATTTGAGATCAGCATGAGCAACATAGTGAGACACTATCTCAATAATAATAATAATAATAATGAATAAAACCGTAACTAAAGGAGTATCTTTGCATAACAAAGCTTAGGAATTAAAAGCTATAAATTTTTGGAGTACAGACATGTTTACCCTGATTTAGACATTATACAACATATACAAGTAACAAAACATCATATCATACCACATAAATAGATACGGTAGCTATGTTTTCATTTATCAGTTAAAAAATATAAGCTCAAGAAGAAAAAAACTGATTCTAAAGGTTTAAAAGAAATAATAAAAATAAATTCCACAGTTTATATAATTAAGAAACATTTTTATTTAAATGTTGGGGATGGGGTTCAGTAGTAGAGCGGGTGTGAGGCTCTGAGTTCAACCCTCAGCATCCAAATTAATTAATTAATTATTAACAATTCCCAGCTAGTTCTTCACTGCCATTTTTTTTGGGGGTGGGACTGGGATTTGAACTCAGGGCCTTGCACTTATAAAGCAGATGCTCTACCACTTGAGCACTCTTCCAGCCCCTTACCTAGTTCTTCAAATTAAAATTGTTCTGGAAACTGAATATTAATAACGTCTGACTTAAGGAAAAACACACTTATCAATTATCTTTAGTGGTCATACACTGATCTATGAAACAAACAATATTTTAAAAATTATTTTTAAAGACATGATTCTGGAAGACTTACCATGAGCTGTGTAGTTTGTACAGTTAACTGGTTCTTGTGTAGCATCATTTATCTTTGGATCTTTACAAATATATGTACAGAGAAGTTAAGGAAATATGAACTACATTTTTAACAGAAAACATCATTATGCCTTTAATACCTTACATAATCTTGTTGATATTCACATGTAAAACAGACGCTACTAATTTGTCCAACTCAACAAGCACAAGTACAAATATATTTTTGGTTACAAAATAATACTTGTACACTAACTTATTCCTGGAAAAGTCTACAAAATACTTAAAAGCTCTAGCAGAGGATGCCCTCCTCAAAGAACATTAGCCAGGGACCAGCAGAAAGTGAAATTAAAATATTTACCAAATTATTGTAAGATGGCTCAGCTTAAAAACAAATTCATTTCCAGAGATTTGGTGGAATTAATTTACAGACCCCCCACCCCAGTATACACTTTATTTCACGTAATACAAACCTATGAGGTAGATACCAGATCACAGAAACACAAACTGTGGCTCAAACTTTGAGTATGTTATCCTGTCACATAAATGATCGGTGGTAAAATCAGATGTCCTGATTCCAAGCCTTGGACACTTCCTCAGACTGCAGGAAGAAGGCTGTTTTCTGTGTGATCCCTCCAACATATTAAGTTTTTGAAAACCCTCCTAAAATAGATGTCCAATGCACTCAAGAGAGGTTGGAAGTGGATTAAATACTTTTTTGCTGACACTACAATGGGGAAGGCATAGTATTCACAAGATGTCTCTAGAGATAGCCTGACCCCTCTTTAAGATTTTGAATCACTATTGGAAAGTTCATCTTTTTTGTTGGCAGTAACAGACATTTTCCAGTGGTCACCACTTCATAGTTATACAGGCTCAGTCACTTCTCTCTGAGGTTCAACTCTTACACTGTTCAATCATTTTCTTAGAATCACCCTCATATTTTTCCAAAAAGAGGACTAAATTTACCAGGTCAGTGCTTCTCAAACTCCAAGCATAATGATAGCTAGGAAGTTAGAGCTATTCTGTGACAATCTAATGATGGCTACCTCTCCTCAAATCACGTAAAAATACTATGGATTTTTCTTAATTTTCTTTCACAGACTCTTGTACAGGTTGAGTATCCTTTACATAAAATGCTTGAGGCATCATGCCCGTCCTCCAAAACTTGCAGATTTTGGAGCATTTGGAATTTCAGAGTTTCATGTTAGGGATGGTCAACTTGTCATCTTCCCCTTCTTTACAAAATTTGTGTAAAACTAACTTTGCGGAAAAGTAGCTATATAACTCCCATCTCATCTTGATCCTAATTACCATAAAGCTGTGTTACAGCAATTCACTTAATCCTAACTCACCCCCCCCTTTCCTCAAGTGTAAATAAATAGCAACACATACAGTCCTATTATGCCAGGCACGGTCCTAAGTGTCTTACCCGTACTAACTTAAACAGCACGACATCCCTTTAAGTTGGTGCCATTGTCATTAACACTTTTATTCATGAGAAAATAGAGTTTAAATAATTTGAAACCAAGGTTACAACGTGGAGAAGGAACTGGGCTGGCAATGCAGCATCTCAGGACGACAAATACCTGTAGTTAATGATAACTGAGCAACACAACTTGGCTCATTAGGGATGACTCGTTACTTAGTTGGCGAACTTGCAGCGTAGTCTGAATTTTTGTTCTGCTCATATGAGGAGGTCAGGGCCTGGAGTCCTTTAGGGTCTCCAGGTTTGTGGCACAGGTAGAGAGGAATGAGGGCAGGGGAATCAACGACCGGCAAACCCTATGCACAGCACCCAGGGCGGCCTCGTACCCTCCGGTCCCCACACCCTCCTCACCTCCCGGGGTCCCTCGGTCACTAGTGGGCCGTGATCCCCGTCCACCTCGCCTCCGAGGGAGGGCTGTCCACATAGGATATTGTCCCACTCTGAGGTCCTCGCACTTAAGCGTCTCCTCGCCCCCGGCGGCGGCGGTGGCGGCAGCCCCCCAAGATCCCGTGGTAACTGTCGCGAGCCACAGAACACCCAGAAGCTGGGCGGCCACAACCTCAGGCAAAGCGGCCCCGGAGGCCCTGGCGGCCGCCATGTTGGGGACCGGCGGCGTCCCACGCACTTCCGGTTGCGCCTCCGCCTGGGTGCCGACGGGAGGCGGGCGGAAGGAGGCGGGACGGTCTTAAAGGCGCCGCGCTGTAGCTGGGGCTAGGTTTCGGTCAACCCGCTTGCTCTACTGAGGGTCGGCGGATCACCTAGGAGTGTGTTTTTGTTTTGTTTCTTTAAATGCACGTCGGGGAGCCCTCGCCCGAGAGTGTCGGAAGAAGGAAAGGCTGGCTCGGGCGTTGGCTTCCTCAGCCCAGCCGCGCCCCGCGTCCGCCCTGCGAGGCGTTTCCCGGCTCCACGTGTTGCGCGAGGCTCGGGCGACGGGACGAGCGCCTTCCCCGCGTGGTCTCCAGGAGGGCGCGTGGGGCCTGGGCTCCATCGAGAGCCACTCGTGAAGACGCGGAGGCACGTTGGCCGTGGTCGCCCAGTGAGGGGAGTAGATTGGCTGTTTGCGTCTGAGCTGCCAGGGATTACGATCTGCTGCCTTGCCGCTGCGGAGGAGGAGCCGCGCAGGCTGCCTGGACAGAATTTGGGAGCGCTGTCGCAAAGAGGCATTAGGATTTTTAATTTTACTTATAAATTTTTAAAATTTATTTTTGTGGTACTGGGGTTTCAACTCAGGACCCAAATCTTCAGTCACTCCAGCAGCCCTTTATTTTGTGAAGGGTATTTTGAGATGGGGTCTCGCGCACTATTTTATTTCCCTGGGCTGACTTCGAACCGTGATCCTCCAGATCTCTGCCTTCCGAATAGCCAGTATTACATGCGTGAACCGACTAGGATTTTTAAATATGAAAATTAAGGTGGGGGAAAACTTGGGGGAGGGCGCCTATAACAATAAAAGAACGAATAGTTTATGACTACCGTAAATGTTTCTTTCTTTTTTTTTTTTTCGGATTTTTACCCATTTTGGTGGCACTGGGATTTAGAACTCAGGTCTTAACACGCTTGCTAGGCAGACGGTCTACCACTTGAGTCAGTCTAAGACTACTGTAAGGGAAAAGCTGGAAGGTTTTCTCTTATTCTCTTATTTTTACATATTCTGAAATTCTGTCGTGGGGGAATTTATAATGAGAAACACATTTTTAAGTGAAAGTGTAATCCTTTTTGACATCTGAAATATTTGAATTTGGTGCGCCTTTATCCACCTTAGGGCCGTCATTTTGAAGAATTATACTATGCACTGGTTCTCAAACTGCATAGCATCGGAGTAATCTGGAGTGTACTTGTTAAAACAGAATAATGTGCCAGGCCTGGTGGTTCACGTCTGTAATCTCAGCACTGAGGAGTCTGAGGCTAGTGCAGGCCACATAGTGAGACCCTGTCTCAAAAAAAAAAAAAAAAGAAAACCCCAAAACCTTCCTTCAGTTTCTGATTCAGAAGTTAAGGTTGGGGCTTTGCATTTATTTCTGAAGGGCTTCCAAGGGATGCATATATTCCTGGCCTAAGAACCACTTCTGAGAACGCTGGTATGATGTGTTATGGGAAGTATCGTTTTGGAATCTGATCTGGACTACATAAAGCTGTTTGAAGTAATACTTCAGCGTTGTAACTATGTTTACATTTTTTCTTGGTAAACAAGTTTGGCAGCATTACCCTGCTGTTCCTAACATTTATGCATAATTTATGCTTTAAGTGGTAGGAAATTTGAAATTCACTAAGTTCAACTTTAAACTTACTGTTTTAAGTGGTCTTCTCCCTCCCACCTCTCTTCCTCATGTTCTTTCTCTTCCCTTTCTTCCTTCAAAAAAAAAAAAAATTTATTAAGCATTTACTATGTACCCAGCACAAGCTGCAATAGGAGTTAGGCTAGACCTTAGAGATTCAAAAATGAAGAGACAAGAATTAAGCATTTAGGTTTGGTAAGCAAGAGATAGTTGCTAGTTAAGGTAGTAGGACAAAGTTCTGGGGGTGAACTTGTTGTGTTTTTCTTTTGTTCAAGATACAGTCTTGCTATGTTGCCCAGGCAGGCCTCAAACTCCTGCCTCAGCCTCCTCAGAAGCTAGAACTAGGACTGGAGGTGTGGCTCAAGTGGTAGAGTGCCTGCCTAGCAATCTTGAAACTCTGGGTTCACACCCCGGTACAACCAAAAAACCTCAGAAGCTAGAATTACAGGCTGCCCAGGCTAAGCTGGTGCTCTACCACTCACCTACACCCCTAGCTCTGGGACCTGGGTTTTGATTAAGATATCCCTCCTCCCCCAACAGTACTTAAAACACCATATTTTGACATGAGCATCATACCAGTTTTAGTATATGTGCTGTCAAAGCCAGCATAGACATTAGCTTTAAAATAATTAAAAGTCAAGAACAGACTGAGTTCTCTGAGATTTATCTTCATAGGGTACATGACAACCTGAAAATGTACAGCCTAGAAAACTAACCATTACCTTTAAGTTAAAAAAAAGACCAAAAACAAAAGCCCCTAGTAACATGTACATTACACAGTTTAACCCAATTCCTCAGCCTCATCCTGAGATGAAATTTAGAGAAAAATTAGAAGTCAAGGATTAGGTAAATTTCAAGAATAAGGACCACAATATGGGTTACATATGTTACTTGGCAATATCTGTGTAATATGTAAAAATAGAACAGCTTTGTATTTTGACTATTGACTCAATGATTGATTTTTTTAAATACAGCCTGAAAACAAAAAAAAGAAGCAATTTTGTATTTTCAGTTTATTGAAACTATAACAAAATTCGATGTTTTTCTGCTGATTGCAAGAATATTGCTAAGCTTTGTATTTGTGTCAGTTTTCATAGTTTGAACAATTAATTTTGAAACCATTTATGCTTTGCTGATTAATCCCATTACAAAATCTATTTTTATGTTTTCAACATTATCTTTATTCTGTCCCACAATATATAAACTTTAAAGAAAACTGAAAAGGTTTCTCTGTTAAAGATGCAGTGTAAAATTTTTTGACTATTGGACTGGAATGTAGCTCAGTGGTGGAGCGTTTGTATATAGCATGTGCAAGGCTGGGATTTCAATGTCCACCACAGAAAAAAATTGAATTTTTTTACTCGTGATGATGTGTTTAAAAATTCATTTTCCCTACATACTACCTTTTAATCCATTTTCTCCTGGCTATGTGAAATATACTACTCTATTCCTTTGCAATCAGTCTCTAATCATGATAGATTGTTTAAATTTAGTAAGAACTTAAATCTCAATGTTTTCACTGCCATTTTTTTTTTGTCACATAAAGTTCTACAGAAATTCTATAGAAAGTAAAGGACATGAATAACACAACCCAAGGTGGAAATTGTGCAGAAACATTAGGAAAGAGGATTACCAGCAAAGCCTGAAGGAAAGCTTCCTCTGGGATTCAAAGACTCTACACATTGGTGCTTTTCATTCCTAAGTTTTTATGCACACCTAATTACATTCACAGATAGTTCTGTGCATACCAAAATTTGCCAGGGAAACCAACCTAACTCTTGTTTCCAAGGTTAGGACAGAAACATAGCAATATAAAAAAATATTACTCTTAAAGCTTCTTTGTGTGACTATGATGGCCAATTTTGTCCTCTGGTGATAAATTCATAGCATCAACAATCTGTGTAATCTTTATTATCCACTTCTGCACAGCATTTAGAGTTCTGTAACTGTGCTATTGGTTTCCAACTATGTCTGATCCTGTCCTCTCGTTGGTTTGCTGATTTAACTGCCAGCATGGTATCCAATTAAATTAACTTTGCTTCACCACTTAATAAGGTCGACTTTTATATGCCAAATATATTTAATCTTAATGTAAAAAGGAGGATCTAAGACTTATTTTATCAGCTTCATCCCCATAAAACAAATCAAAACAAAATAAATTGGCTTTTCTAAATTTCACCACCACTCTCTTTTTATCAGGTTCAAAACTTGGACTCATTTTTACCCTTCGGTCAGTAAGCAATTGCTATTTTAAAGTATTTGTTCTTTTTTTCATCCTGTGTTTTCATTCCTTATGTACTTTGCTATAGTGATCTTATAGTTCCTGTTTTATTCCAGTACCTCTCGACAAGTTCATCTATCTGTTTTTCCATACTGCTTCCAAATATATCCCTTGTTATTTTTTTAAAGCCTATATAATATTCAAAATTCTATTAAGTTTATTTTCAGAGCCTGGTCCAGTGGCAGATGCCTGTAGTCCCAGGTACTTGGGAGGCTGAAGAAGGAGGATTCCTTTAGTTGGGAGGAAAGGGGACCTTGTCTCAAAAAAGAGTAAACAAAAATTTTTCCATGATTCCTTAATTTATCAGAAATGAAAGGCAAATTCTTACACCTAAAGCTCTCTGTGGTACTTTCAGGTTCTCCAGCATCTGCACTGCTGTCATTAATATCTGCCTTCCTGAACCATCTTTGTGCTGCTTCATCAAGTGCGTTCCTTATCCTGATAGATGCAGTGCACCTATCCCTTCCTTTCACCTTCAGAATTCCCATATGGAGTAAGCACTGCCACCACAGTTTCACTAAAAAGAATTAGAAAGGCTAAGTAACTTGCCAGGGTCATATATTTTAGAAAGTGGTGAAATCAAGATTCAAGCTCAGCTCTGAATTCAGAGCTCATGCTGCTCTTCAAAAATCAAATGCAGATCAGGCACAATGGGTCACTCCTGTAATTCTAGCAACTTGGGAGGATTGAGGCTTTTGGCCAACTGGGCAAAATGTTAGGGGGACCCCATTTTAACAAATAAGCTGTGTATGGTGGTATAGCACCTGTTGTCTCAGCTAAGAAGGAATCATAGGTAGGAGGATCATGGTCTAAGATTGTCCCCAGGCAAAAACTTACTAGACCCTGTTTAAAGCAAAAAAGGACTGGGGCAGGGCTCAAATGGTAGAGCACCTGTGTAGCAGACATGGAGAGAGCAGACAATTGGGCTAAAAGTGGTGGAGATGGATGATTGCTGGGAGAGTCAGAGAGGCCTCTTTTCATCATAAGGCCCTGGAGGAAGGGCTAGGCCACTGGACCTCCTCGGCAGGGGAAAGAGGATGAGTAGCCATGGAGTGGTG